ATGTCTCTTAATTAATGTCATTCAGTTTGACCTGCCTTAACACATAGAATCATTTCTAAAAATTTATAAATGAATCCATTTCCCCCATTTACTTCCATTATCAAGTCATATGGGAAAATATTTGATCCCAAAAGAAAAAAAGCACTTTAGGATTTTAACATTCAATTCAGTCATACTCTCTGCTCCTGCTGACTCACAGTCCAGTCCTTATGTATTTAGTCCATTTATATTATTTCTGCAAAACACTAGCCATGCCTATAGGGTCTTACCCTCTAATTTATAAGCACATCAACATTACAGATTGCTAATTCCATGCCTGGATTACTTGACAGAGCAAGTAAGCAGGTATTAGAGAAACAACAAAGCAGGATTTTTTTTTTTTCCAGAAAGAAGCATCTTCTAAATGACTTTCAGGAGTCAGAAAGCATGACTTCAGCATGTATGAAAGTTTAGTGTTTTAAGAGTAATATTGGGGGCTTCCCTGGTGGTACAGTGGTTGAGAGTCCGCCTGCCGATGCAGGGGACACAGGTTCGTGCCCCGGTCCGGGAAGATCCCACATGCTGCGGAGCGGCTGGGCCCGTGAACCATGGCTGCAGAGCCTGCGCGTCTGGAGCCTGTGCTCCGCAACGGGAGAGGCCACAACAGTGAGAGGCCCGCGTACCGCAAAAAAAAAAAAAAAAAAAAAGAGTAATATTGTTTTTACTTAAAATTAGATACTGGGGATCACCATGATATTTTCAGTGTTCCATTTGTAAAAATGATAAGGCCCTGACAAATTCTCATTTCAATGGTGTTCTCAATTTCTTCCCAGAGTTTAGATGTATGGTCAAGCAGAAAAATAATTAAACCACAGCTACAAATATTTGGAACGCCATAAGAACAAGGGTGACAACCATGGCTGTTATTGAGCACTAACTATGTGCCAGGTTTGGTGCTATGATCTCTGCAGGATCTCTCTCTTTTAATCCCAAGTAGAAAGTTTATGGAGTAGGACTCTTATTATCCCCGTTTTTTAAATGAGAAACACAAGGTTTTGAGAGGTTGAACCATTTCCATAAAGTCACATGGCAAATGTTAATTTTTGCCTGTTTTAAATGAGCATGAACATTCCCATATTTGGGAATGTTTGACTGATAAAGAATCATGGCATAACTGCTGAATAAAAGAACAAATGATTAACAAAATGCATAACATTTTGGTGCCTCCTAACCTACAGTATTGAGGAAAAGCAAAAGATACCTTGTGTGGCTCCGTTTGGACACATTCTCACTGTTATTGCAGGCCAGCACTGAGCCCAGCTGGGCCAATCAGATACATAGGAATGAAACCAGTGCTAAGTGAGAATGAGCTGGCTATGATTACACAGCATCTAGATGCAAAAGATTCAAAGATTTTCCAAAGATCTCAGCAGTTCTATTAGCCAATTTTCTTTTTTAGTTGCAAATATTGTATTCCTGTTTTCAGTAAAAAACAATACAGCACAGAGAATAAAGCTGGGGAGTTCTTTCTTTTGATCCAGTGCTCTGTTGAACATAGCCTCAGGCTCCTCCCCAGGACCTGAGCTGAATGTAACTCACAGATGCTCCAAATTCCGATCCACAGTGTTTCCACTACTGCAATGGGCAGATCACCTAATTTGCGCCTGCCTCCTTTTCTTTCTGTATAAAAGGAGCACAGTTATACACTATCGCAACAGAGATCATAAAGTTAGAAATTTGCTTTCCCTTTGAAGATCAAGGCATACAAAATAGTTATTAATAATTATCTGGCAAATTGGTGAATGTGTTTTCCTGTCTGAAGCACTAAATGATCTCTTAATTACTCTTTACAGTTCATCCTCATCACGCACTTAAGTATAATGTGTTGGCTGGTGAGGAATATTTTTGTTTACAAATGAAAGCTAACACAGAAGAGGGACTGTAATAATGGGGTCTTATACTGTCCAGACCTTTTTTTTTTTTTTTTTTTTTTGCGGTACGCGGGCCTCTCACTGCTGTGGCCTCTCCCGTTGCGGAGCACAGGCTCCGGACGCGCAGGCTCAGCGGCCATGGCTCACGGGCCCAGCCGCTCTGCGGCATGTGGGATCTTCCCGGACCGGGGCACGAACCCGTGTCACCTGCATTGGCAGGCGGACTCTCAACCACTGCACCACCAGGGAAGCCCTCTAATCCACTTTTAAGATGGTATTTTCCCCTTAAAATTCTTGCTGAAGTCTTCAGATGGTCAGATGGGGATTTCAGAACCTATATCACCTTCTGAATTTAACCTGGATACATTTGGATGTCATGATACATTTGACATGATCAATTACTAATTTACTATGTTATGGAATATTTCTATGACATCATTTGATTTAGGGAGCTTCTGTTAGTTTACATATGATGGGCAATGCGTGATGCAGAAAGAATCTGATTGGTATCCTACCAGTAATGAGTAAGATGCCAAGGTTATACATCCAGGCTTTTCTTTTGAACAGTGATGGTAACCTGAGAAATATGAGCCTCAGCAGCAGCAGCAACACAGAAATTAAACTTCCAGTAAAATATCAAGGACTCTGATATTCTTTGAATTGAGAAATAATTTTGAGCCTGTTGCCTTTAATAACAAATAAAAACATAAAGACAATAACTTTGACCAAAGTTTTAGTAAATCAAATAAAATAGGAAAAGAACATTAATTTCCCAGGTGGCAATTTGTATTGGTTATCATATGTGGATGATACGTAATTTGATTCAGCATGTGAAACTTGACTTCCAAAAAAAAGGTTTTAAATATGTTCCTTAAGATTAAAAAAAATGAGATGGTTCCTAAAAAGTTTTTATATACCCATAAGCAAAACAGTATCAAAAGAAAATTTAGTGACATTTAAGGCTAATTGCTCTGAATCAGGAAAGTAATAGAAAGTAATATAATTGTATCAGTAAATTGACCAAAATTGTCTTCAAATGTATATGTGTTGATTTAAAAGTCTATACAAACTAATGCTTTTGCATAAAAATGTGTCCTGAAAGGACCCAAATTTAAAGGTAATATTTAATCTTTGATCAACCTAAATGTACAACAGTAGAATAAACTAATTATGCTGTATTAATATCAAATAATATTTTGTAGCCATTAAAAAATGTTCTGAAGTAATTTTTATGACATGGGAAAATGTTAACTAAGAAAGTAGGATAAAGACTAAATATATCTTATGATCCAAAATATTTTATTGAGTCTATATGTGTGTGTGAATCTGAGAAAAAAATACACCAAAATGTTAACAGAAGTTATTCTGGGTGGTGGAATTATAGGTTCTTTTGCTTTTTTAATTCTATTAAAAATTTCTAAATTTGCTGTAATGAACGTGTACCACTATTATAAATTTTTAAATGACCAAGGATTTGTATGAAACCTCCTTGGTGTGTATGAAAAAGATGTGTGTTATATAATACCTAAGTTCCCAGAAGAGGTCAAGTATTTCATGTATACATTGTTCCATTATTCATAATTACTAAGTCATCAAGACCCATCCTGGTAAAGGCAGCTGGACCATCCAAGGCAATCCATTACAAGAGAACTTTGAGAAAAAGAAACCTCATATAGGGCCTTGAGAAATCTTGTCACCATCATATAATGCTGTTTCCTTCTTGCAGGAAGTAGATATGAATAAAGGCTATGACTACAGTTTATTTTTAAAAATATTCTTAGGTCTCAATGTGTCTTCTGAAAAATCAAGTGCGTATCTGAGTTGAGAGCTGAGAACATCTGCCCATCCCATTCTTAAGTCTCTTGTTTTTGAAGCCTGCTTACTTACTCTTTTAATATATATTTCTTTACAAATGAATTGTGGAAACACTTTTTTTACTTTTGTGAACCAAACAAGGCAAAAGAAAGTTGTAACTGGATATTATCCAGGTCCATATTTTTGACTCAAGGGAGGCAGTAAAGTCATCAGACTCCCATCTTACCCATATTACATTGGATTCCCTCTGCTAAAGCACTCCCTTGTTTTTTTCCACAGGAACTTGGTTTTCCATTGTGGGCTAAACTCCTTTGTTTGCATCCCATCTACTAAGCATGTGATGCCAACTCTGAGGTCTAGGGTTATTTGTCCATCAAGATGTCCTAACTTTGGAAGAGAGCTGAAAAAGGTAGAATAATAACTGGATTTTGTTAGACATTGCACTTAATAGAGAATAAGAGAAAGCAAATATTTTTTCTGAATACTGATAGTGTACTATAATATCTGTGTCATTGTGAAGAAAGGGACAGTCTTGCCCTGAGTGGGAACGTATCATTAATTTTGTTCGATCCTAAAACAGGTTTGCAAGTTCTAGTATCTAGTATTCTGGAAGATGCTAGAAACTAAGGATATAGCAGGTAGGGCAAAAAATGGTAGAGAAAATCTAGAGAGCAGGTGATACTTAAGATATATAATGTCTGATAAATGTTTGACACATAATGTTTGATAAATATTTAGTAAACAGATTAAGAGGTACTGGCCTCATTGTAGTTCCTGATGGTCATGCACTCAGTGTGGTCCCAGTGTTTATTACAAACTCACTCCCCCACAATTTGCACATACGCTTCTGGGAAGGATCTAGTAAAGCACTGAAATAGTCCAAGTTCCAATCAAGTTGACTGAATTAAAGTCCAGTCCAGAGAAGACGCTGGAGTATTAGGCAGGGAAACTAACACAAAACCTCTTCCTACTGACCCATCCACTGAAGAATGAAGATAGCAAAGGCTAAACCACAAAGTCAACTAGGGAACTATACCTCACCATATATAGTAAGATGTGGGTCACCAGTACATTCCCAGACCCGATGGACTCCGGCTCTGGTACTTGTAGGGACCCATCAGGATGAGAAAACACAGTTCAGGTCAAAGCTTGCTAATATAAACCTCTTGATATGGTTTAAACTATGTGTACCTCTCAGAAGCCCGAAGAGATAACCCATGAGATTTTTCTTCTAAAAAGCCCATTCCTTTTCATACTGAATCCAGCAGCAAATAAAAAGGTTTTGGGTGTATATTTGTGGGTACCATGGATGGGGAGACAGAATGAAAAGGGAAAACAAGATGTTAATTTCAAAAAAAAAAAGTGAGTTAACAAATGATTACAATGAATACTTTATAAAGATATTTCTGACCTTAGAAGAAAAAAGAAGGTGAAATATTCCTGTTTCCAGGCTAAGAAAACTAAGGCAGAAGATATGTATAAAATGAAAGTCCATATGAGTAAAAAGTTTTTAAATTAACCCAACAAGTAAGCCAGTAATCCATACTTCTCCATCACACACAATTTTAAACTCAATTTGTTAAAGAAAATGTGAGGGGACTTGCTCAGGGGAGAAAGTGGTGGTGCAGGAACAAATGCCTAATTTGGAATAAGGTAGAGATCCTTTTTTTTTACTTGGGCCTTCACATAAGTCACTGGTTTTGAACAGTATGATGAGGAACACTTCTGGGCCTCCAGAATATCCATGAAAATTACTGGCCTCCAGCAGCTGCAGCTGTTCAAAATAAATAAATAAATAAATAAATAAAGAGAAAGAAGATAAAGAAGAGGTAAATAAAAATTTCAGTGTGCTTAATGGTTCTGAATGAGGTGGCCTGAGATCTATACCTTCAAATGTGTTCCAGGTTGCTATAATATTTGTTGCCAAATATTTCTATATTTTACAAAATCCTCACAAATTCTAAAGACAGGAGAATAAAAGTTCTGCTCTTTTTGAAATGTTTATTCATTCATTACTGCTTATGTAATTAGTATAGAAATCTGTTCATTTCGAATTTTTCCAGTAAAAGAATTCCTTATTGTCCAGTAGATAATTAGTAGGTATTTACTGAGCGACTGATATATAAAGTCCTATATTTAGTCCTGAGGAAACAACGATAAATAAGATATAGTCTTTGCCTTCACAAAGGTTATACATATTTTTAACAAATTATGGGAAAATATCAGGTAAATTAGCAGGCTATAACATTATATTATTTAAAACAAAGGTAATAATATGCCTTAACTAGAATTCAGATCTTAGAAGTCAGAACATTTCATTCACTATTCTAAATACTAATTTGATAATATTAAGTTATAGTCCCAATCTAGAGCAAATACAAAAGCACTGCAGATATGTGTGACATAAATGCTTCCAACTATGTGATGTCCACAAGAGACTCACTTCAGCTTTAAGGACATACATAGACTGAAAGTGAAGGGATGGATAAAGATATTTTATGCAGATGGAAACCAAAAGCATGCATAGCTCTACTTATATCACACGAAACAGATTTTAAACCAAAAACTGTAACAAGAAACAAAGAAGGTCATTATATAATGATTGAAGAAGACACAAATAAATTTCTTTAATAAATGATTGAAGAAGACACAAATAGAAAGATACTCTGTGTTAATGATTGGAAGAATTAATATTGTGAAAATGCCCATATTGCCCAAAGCAATCTACAAACTCAATGCAATCCCTATCAAAATTCCAATGGCATTTTTCTCAGTAATAGGAAAAAAATCCTAAAATTCATACAGAACCACAGAAGTCCCCAAATAACCAAAGCAATTTTGAGAAAGAACAAAGCTAGAGGCATCACACTTCCTCATTTCAAATTATATTACAAAGCTGTAGTAATTCAAACTATATGGTATTTGCATAAAAACAGACACAAAGATCAATGGAACAGAATAGAGAGCCCAAAATAAACACATGCATATATGGTCAATTAATTTTTGACAAAACACCAAGAATATTCAATGGAAAATGGATAATCTCCTCAATAAATGATGGGGGAAAAACTAGACGTCTACATGGAAAAGAATTAAACTTATACCATACACAAAAATCAAGTCAAAATGATTCAAGACTTGAATGTAAGACCTTAAAGCATAAAACTCCTAGAAGAAAACTTAGAGGAAAAACTCTTGCAATTTTTCCTGGCAATGATTTTTTGGATTTGACACCAATAGCAAAGGCAGCAAAAGCAAAAAGAAACAAATGGGACTACATTAAACCAAAAAACTTCTGTACAGCAAAGGAAACCATAAATAAAATGAACAGGCAACCTAGAGAACTGAAGAAAATATTTGTAAACCACATATCCGATAAGGCGTTAATATCCAAAATATATTAGGAACTTATATAACTCAATAGCAAAATAATAATAACCTAATTTAAAAATGGGCAAAGGATCTGAATAGACATTTTTCCAAAGAAGACATGCAGATGGCCAATAGGTACATGAAAAGGTGCTTAACATCACTAGTCATCAAGAAAACACAAATCAAAACCACAATGAGGTATCACCTTACACATGTTAAAATGTCTATTACCAAAAAGGCAAGAGATGGCAAATGCTGATGAGGATGGGAAGAAAGGGGATGCTGTGCACTGTTGGTGGGAATGTAAATTGGTGCAGTCACAATGGAAAACAGTATGGAGGTTCTGCAAGAAACTGAAAACAGAACTATCATGTGATCCAGCAATCCCACTTCTGGATTGATATGCAAAGGAAACAAAATCATTCATTTGTATTCCTATGTTCATTGCAGCATTATTCACAACAGCCAAGGTATGAAAACAACCTAAGTGTCCATCTATGGGATGAATGGATAAAGAAGATGTGATGTGTGTGTATACACACACACACACACTATAGAATATTATTCAGCCTTATAAAAGAAAGAAGTACTACCATTTAATATGGACGAACCTGGAGGGCATTATGTTAAGTGAGGTAAGCCAGACAGAGAAAGACAAACATGTCATGGTATCACTTATATGTGGAAGCTTTAACAAAAGAGTGGAACTCATAGACACAGAGTAAAATGATGGTTGCCAGAGATACGAGGTTGGGGAAATTGGGAGGGGTTAGTAAAAGGGTACAAAACTTTCAGCTATAAGATGAATATCATCTGAGGATCTAATGTACAACATAGTGACTATAGTTGGTAACACTGTATTGTATAATTGAAATGTGCTAAAAGAGTAGAACTTATGCGTTCTCACCAAAAAAAAAAAAAAAAGGTAAATATGTGAGGTGATGGATGTGTTAATTAACTGGAGGTGGGAATCCTTTCATAATGTATGTATATATCAAATTATCACATTGTACACTTCAAATGTGTTACAATTTTATTAGTCAATTATACCTCAATAGAGGTGAAAAAAATTAATGCAGTTAAGAAACAAGTAGCTTAATGACAAAAAAAAAAACAAACTAAGACAAATATAATCTAAGGACATGACATTAGAAGTTGCTGCATCCACTTTTGCTGCCGTAAAGGCTGGCCAACATAAAAGGAGTGTAGTGTTGAAAGAACCACAGAGAAATGGGGTTCAATCCTGATTGCTTCTAAACTTGGGGTAAAATGTGACCAGAAGATTTACATACCACTCTTCTGTTCATTTGTGTGAACCAATACATTTTTCTACTTAAACTAATTGGGGTTGAGTTTTTAAAATTATTATTATTATTATTACTTATGGGGGAAAAAAGGCCGTACTAATATAAAGAGTTGTAGAGTTGGGAATGAGGGAAGAGTTGGAAAAGATTTTTATTGAATTTCTTAGGCATCACTTTTCCATGTAGAAGGCAAAACATATCAGTAATTTTGGCAAATAAGAGTATGCCTTATTCTAATAGTTTAAAAATTAAAGAGGTTAAAAAGTAAGAGAGGTTAACGAATTAGAGAAGGCTCTGGGAAAGCAACAGTGATGAGCCTAGAGGATACTATTAGCATCTTCCCAGTGTATCCATCTATGTATAAAAATGGTCAAAATGGGCAGGAGAGATTAGGCATCTGTATCTGCTCTTTGTATGACTATGTATGTGGATGTTTTCTTCATCTTCTGTCAATTTGCAAGATCCCTTTTCTATCACTACTGCTACTTTTATATTCCTGAAGTTTTCTCTTTTCTTTCTCCCACTGGAAAACAACCAAACCCCCTGGATATGATGCCTGAAAAGGGCTTAAGAAGGTGGACAGTAAAGAGTATGGGGTGGCTTGCTGGGGCAGTAATGCTCCTCTGCATCAAATGCCCCATTTTGAGAGGAAAAAAAGGAAGAGCATACTGTTTGTAGGGGAGAAAGAATGCAAACATAACATAGCTCAAACCTGCTCGTGCAGCTGCCATTTTCTTGTTTCGCAGTTTGTTCTCCAAAGCTTGCTACATAATAAAAAATAGTAGAGAAGAAGAACGTGAGATTTCCTGATGCGTTCTACTACTTGACATTAATAAAGACAAATATTTCTCTGAAATAAATTGTATCCTACCTGTTTCATCTTCTTTTTTAGATCCAGATTTGCTGCCTTCTGGCCTTTTGCAGTAGAATTGAGATAATAGATAGTCAAACTAAATTAAAAAAAATAAAATAAAATGTATGGTATTTTTCAGTTCCTCAAGATTCTTCTTAAATTTACATTAACTAAATTATATAATGTTGGCACTGGAGTGACTTTAAGGTATTTTCTACTCTGAACCTCTTTTGTAGATAAAAGCCTGAAGTACAGAGAGGTGAAGACGTACATTCAGAATTCCACAGCAACTGGGGTGGACCTGGGAAGTTGGACCCCCAAGGCTCCTCCTCCACAGCCCAGGGCTCTGTCTGATGTTCCTCACTGCCTAATTTTAGGTTCTTCTTGGAAATGTATTAACATCGCTTTAAGTTATAATTGAAAACACCATTTCAAATCGATACCAATGGCATCCAAGAGAACAGAAAATCTCTTGAAGCTTAGGGAATGTGTGGAATAAAAAGGAAACTGACTTTCCACTTTAAATCCCTTCCTTTGGCTTTTACAACTAAGACCATAATCCTCATCGTCATAGTTAATTAACATGGCTTTTTTTCATCCATAGAATGTATTGTTTGCATTTCTCTCTCCTTCACAAGAAACTATTTCATAAAAGAAGAGTCCTGGCATTTAAGTGACATTTCTAAAAAGAGCAAATTCCAGCCAAACATTTTTGCAAAAATAAACCTGTTCATCTTCACAAAGCAAAACAAAGAAAGAATGCATTTAAAAAACAAAACAAAACGGGGCTTCCCTGGTGGCACAGTGGTTGAGAGTTCGCCTGCCAATGCAGGGGATGCGGGTTCGTGTCCCGGTCTGGGAGGATCCCACATGCCGCAGAGCGGCTGGGCCCGTGAGCCATGGCCGCTGAGCCTAAGCGTCCGGAGCCTGTGCTCTGCAACAGGAGGGGCCACAACAGTGAGAGGCCCGCGTACCACAAAAAACAAAACAAAACAAAACACGTAACTGGCATTGCCCTTTATTGCAAATAACTGGTTACTGAACACATTTCCCCTACTCACCAACATGCCAGATCATAACCTTCATGAGCCATCTGCTGCTAGCAACAAGATTATTGATATCATTTCCACTGGGTTTATTTCTTATACAAGTGATAGGATTTTGAATGAAATTACATACATGAAAGCATCTGGTGTAATATCTGGCATGAATTAGGTGTTCAATAAATATGGTGTGTCTGTGTATTGTAAGGGTTTTCTTAGAAAAGTGCCAGCATTTGGAGGAAGAACTCAAAGACCTCACAAGTCATTTGCAATTCTGTAATTCTCTATTTATCCATCACTTTTATTCTACCTTGAGATGCACCTTCAATGAGCATTCTTCACAGATCATTTTTTAGTCTCCAAAGGAATGAAACCACCTGCAGGGAACTAGCTCAAACTCTATTCAGTTACCCAAAAACCAACCAAGCTGATTTAATATGATTCATTGGGGAAATTCAAAATGCTTGTAAACATTCTCTAATTAAAGGTAATAAAAAGCCAAGCCAGGACTGCCTGGTGGCGCAGTGGTTAAGAATCCGCCTGCCAATGCAGGGGACACAGGTTTGCGCCCTGGTCTGGGAAGATCCCACATGCCACAGAGCGACTGAGTCTGTGTGCCACAACTGCTGAGCCTGTGCTCTGGAGCCCGTGAGCCACAACTAGTGAGCCTGCATGCCACAACTACTGGAGCCCACGTGCCTAGAGCCCGTGCTCCGCAACAGGAGAAGCCACCGCAATGAGAAGCCAGCACACCGCAGCAAGCAGTGGCCCCCGCTAGCTGCAACTAGAGAAAACCCATACAACAAAGACCCAACGCAGCCAAAAATAAATAAATAAATTTAAAAAAAAAATCCAAGCCAACTGTATGGGCACCATAAAGTGCTGAAGATGAGACCTCAGTATTTGAAAAATCAAATCAGTAATAAGCTGAATTTCGGGTTTTAAATCAAAACGTCAGAACTAAAATCATCCTTGTGGGACATCTATTTGACCTTATATCATGCCAGTTTCCCTCTATAACAGGGGTTGTCAAACTATGGTCTCTGGGGCAAACCTGACTCCCAGCCTGTTATGTATGGCCCATGAACTAAGATTGGTTTTTACATTTTAAAATAGTTATATAAGTACTTACATAATATCCTCACTTTTGCCTCTTGGACCACAAAGCCTGAAGTAACTACTATATGGTCCTTTAAGGAAAAGTGTGCCAACCCCGGGTGTGGACCATCTCTGACAAGTGGCTTCCAGTTCTGAGCATTTCCACTCAGCCTGAACTCAGTGTTTGGTGCTGTAAATGAGTAGGTGGGAAATAAGTGGTGGGGAATAAAAGGACATGGGTTTGAATTTACCTATTAGCCATTTGATTTGGGGCAGATCTTCCATGTGCTTTCAATAATATGATTAATGAGGCCAACTTCTTAAGGTTATTGTGGAAATTAAATGAGTTAATATATGGATCTTGCCTGGAACAAAGGCAGTGTTCATTCCTCTTCCATACCCCTGGGGCAGCTTATTAAATCTTTAATTAGTGGCATTAGAACAATGTTGCTCCTTTGCTTAAAAATAAATCTCTCTCAATAAGTCAAGAATATAGTCATAAAATCTGACATTGTTTTGAGTGTGTGTGTTTTAAAACAAGACCTCCTTTTTACCACGAAAAGGCCTTGACTCCTAAAAGCCATGCTCTCAAAAGCCACTATATCGTAAAAACACTAAGAAGGAAAATCACTTCCAGGGCCATCTGGTGAAACATGCTGCATCCAGCAAGTCATTTTCTAACACATCTGCACCAGAGATTTACTATCAGATTCTTAACGGCACCCCATGATCAAGGTTCTGTACTACATAAAATAATCTGTTTTACTATTTAATTATCCCTACAGGCTATTAGCTCTCCCTCAAAGAAGGCATCATGGTGTAAAGGGGTGAGTGCTGGATTTACTGTCAAAGCCCTACTATTGTCATTTTTGATGTATTCTCACTGAGGGAAAAATCCCTTCCCTCCTCCAAGTCAGTTTCTTAATTTATAAACTTGAAGATGACACCTGCCCTCACTGATGTGGCTTGTGACCACGACCATCACAGAGACGATCCTAACAACTTGGCCCAGAACCCAGTTCATTTACTTAAATCACTGGGATTTCTCTCCCAATCTCTCCCTGAGATTTCCTAGTTTTACCTTTATTTAAACAAATCCAACCCTTTGTGTCAGCTTTGTTCCACTAAAGTGTCCACGAGGGTGACTTCATACTTGCCCTCCTTGATTGAGATCAGTGGCAGTTCTAGACTTTTTATTTAGGAAGGCCTTGGGGTTTGAAAGGAAGGACTGGGGCACTTTTTGTAGCTCTTCCATAGGAAGCATATATATATATATATTTTTTTTTTTTTTTGCTTAGAATGTAAGTTTACCTGTGGTGGCCAAGACTCAGAAACCAATGAAAGTAATACGGGAACAAAAGACCCCTCTCAAGTTCCCCTTTGGATATCATCTCTGACTTCGAAAGGATAGACTAAGTGACCTTTCCAAGACCCTTCTGGTCCTCTGATTCTATCATCATGGGCAGACATAGTTATTAATGGCCTTCTAGGAGGAAGGACAGGGTAATTTCTAAGACCCCTTAAGCCTTTAGCCCTGAAATATAGCCTATAGGGCCCTCAAGGGGAATATTAACTTAGAGGCTCATCACTTCTGTGTATTCACAGCCATATGCTTTATGGAAAAAAGGTGGAGGTCAGGGGGGTGGGGAGGAAGCTTGATGTGCTGATTAGATTTAGTGTTTATGTTTCCCTTGCTGTAGCTGTTTACTGATAATTATTTTGGTTACTTGGGAAACAAATCTTATAATCCTAGGCAGGCAAAGACAGATGCAGATGGCTGTAAATTACATGCAATAGGATCAGAATATGGCTCATGAATTTTACCCTCTCACCACCACGTAATCAGTGCTGAATTGGTTAGGTTACAGCACAACCCCTGGGGAGAAAGAGAGTTGAAAACGCTGAAACTTAAAAGGCGCAGGAAGAACATTACAAAGGCTCTTTCTATGAGGAGGGAAAGCACATACACCATAACCAAAATAACAGCAATAACTAATCCAGGATTAGAAAGCTGTCTCAAGATCTTTGCCAGCCAGCTTGGAAAATCATGTTCCAGTGTCTCTCCGATGACTTCAAACATCCTATTTTTGCCACTGAAAAAAAAAAGGAGAGAAGTTCATTTAAAACAGATGTAAAAACCATGTTTATAGCAAGATGTAAAAACTATGTTTATAGCAAGAAAACTAGAAATTTTTCTCAAACATTGCCTAAGTACTCTTTCAGGTTAGAAATCTGATGTTTAGCTACAACTCCTGACACTTTGGCCTCATACTGTCAACAAATGGATAAGATATGAGAAATGTTATGCCAACACAAACACATAGTCAAAGCAGTTAGGAAATTAACCACAGCATTAGGAGAAGATTAAAAAAAAATTTTTTTTTGGAGTATAGTTGATTTACAGTGTTGTGTTCGCTTCAGGTGTACTGCAAAGTGAATCGGTTATACATATACATATATCCACTCTTTTTAAGAATCCTTTCCCATAGAGGTCATTATGGAATATTGAGTAGAATTCCCTGTGCTATACAGTAAGTCCTTATTAGTTATCTATTTTATATATAGCAGTGTATATGTCAACCCCAATCTCCCAATTTATCCCTTCCCTCCAGGAGAAGATTTTTTTAAAGCTATATTTCTAAGATTTGGGTTACTTGGGAACAAATATGTTATATAAAATATAAATATACCTTATATATGTATGAAAATATATTTTATAAATAGCTTGTAAGTCTACTCTTCAGCAGCTGTTATTATATGAGAATACTTTCTTTGGGCTGAACAAATAGTGTGCTCAGTTTTTTTAATTAGCCTTGGAAATGAGCATAAGGAATAGCTTAATGGAATAAAATCCACAAATAATCTAATATCTCTTTCCATGTTACAGCTTCTATCTCATCTTCCACCAGACCTCTTTCATCTGAGCTATTGATAGGTAACTGCACTGAATGCTGAATCCTTTCTCTCTCAGTATTTCTTCTGGACGGGCCCTAATGAATACCAGCTAAGAACAGAAAATGGGAAGAGAAAGAAAACAAGCCTAAAAAGCAAAGGTCCTTAGTGAGTTTGTTCTCAGCCCCTATAAACTAGAGAAATGAGAGCAGGATGTCTGTCTTAACTTAGTATATAATATTCAGCATTATCAGGTAACACCCATCATGCCAAATTATTTTTTTCTGTATATACATATTGATTCTACTATGAAATGATGTAATTTTCAGAGAAGATATTGCATTAGTTATCAGCAATTTGTATGTATCATGAGAATAAAGGTTGGCATAACACTGAGTAAAATATTTTGGCTTCACTTTTGTTTTTTGACCTTTATACATTCTTAACTACTAATTGAACAGGACCCACAAGTTCCAGATCAGATATTTTTTCTCTCCAGTATCTTTTAATAGACTGAGAGTGACTTCAAGTATCTTGTCAGGAGTCACTGGACTACAGAGGTATAAATTTTGCTTCACAAATTATAGATCTACACACTAATTAGCAAGACCTATGATACATAAGGGGGGGATGAAGCTTACTGACAATTTAAGATTATATCAACCTATTGTACTAAGGTTTCTCATTCTTCATCCATTCTAGCTGACCATGCTTCATGACCATGACATATGGAATACAGCCAGAATGAGGAGACAGGCAAGGAGGATGAGAAAAAATGAGACAATCCACCCTACCTTCTCCAGCCTCTAGGGCTGTGTTTGATGAATGTCAGAATGAGGGAACTGGAATTTTACAAAATCATCCCTACCCACAAAGGTCTTCTTTGCATCCAGTGTATGAGAAATGTGAAGTTATTAGTATCTCTGAGGATTCTTGGGTGCCTTTTCCAGGACAGGTCTCTTACCAGGAGTCCAGATCTTTTATTATACACAAACTATAGAAGTATCTACAAATCCTGGCACTCCCTTTTTCTGACGGGTGAACCAAAGTATGCATATTCCCAGAAGTCCTTTCCAGCCTGTTGCGAGTTATACAGCCAAGTGAAATGTTACTGAAGTTAATCTATAGCTCTCTTGGGCATAGCTCCAATCCACCCTAATTAGAATAGTCTATGTCTGTCTTTTCAGCCAGACCGAAAGGTCCACGTGGCCAGAATCAATGCCCAATGTACACCTACATCTCCTCTAGTGCTTAGTGCATGACAAACAGTCATTCTTCATTCATTAACTCAAATTACTGGCCAACACTCTACTGTGTTTTGACTCACAGAGATGAAAATATTCTGTCCCTAAACTCTAGAAGTCAGCTACACTATTAAGAAAAATCAACACATCAAGTGAGTAATGTAATAGCAGTGTCACGATATAATATAAACCTATACATGTTATATGATCTCAGTTATTTTAAAAATCTGCATAAGAAGAAAACCAGAATACAAAATGCCAAAAAAATGTTGAGAGTTGTTATTTCAGGTCTTTGGTTAGTGTTTATTTTCATGTGAAAATTTCTATAATTTCTGTTTTTTCTAGGATAAACACATATTACCTTTGCAGTTAGATGAAAATACATGAAGTTATAATTACCATAATGTTAGTAGGGAGGTGTGTGAGAACCTAGAGAACTACCAATTGTCCAGAATTATTAGTGAGGGAGCTGGGGGAGAAACATCAAGTGTCAAGAAATGTGGTAGAGCAATTAGAAGAATTTTCTTCATCTGGACACCAAAGAAATAGTTTTTTAATTGTCAAACTGTTAAGGTAAATCCACTTAATAGCCTACTGGAATAATTTTCTGGAAAATTCACCCTCCCTAGCCAGTTCTTATGAAACCAGAACAAGCTAGACTATCTCATCAAATTGCTTTGCAGAATGGGTCTTCTAAGGTATTGTAGCCACCTTACCTGAAAACATACATGCACCTGGGAGAGCCTGGCCATTACTGTGCTGTTCCTATTCACCTACCTCAAATGCACGTTTACCAATTTGCTGCCCACCCGGGTGCCAAGTAGGGTCAGATACACTTCACTAGGCAGGCTGGTCAAACCACCTCAAACTCAGGGTCCAAAAGGATGGCAATGGCAAGTCATGAGTCTCCTACTAATATATCCTTTCTCACCTCACTACCAAGGCAGAACAATGCTTAAAGCTTTAAAATCTAGAGAATAAACCAAGTATACATTCTTTTGCTCCAGGAACAACAGACTATCTAAATAGGACAGAGATACCCCTTTCCCAATACTCTACTAAAAATATTTAAATTTCCTTGATCTCAAAATAGTGATATACATGCTGCTCATCTGCCAAAGTTTGCCAATTAGGAAACAGTTGGTCAAAGTCAGATACTATGTGTTAGACACAGACTAAGTTTTATTCATTAAAATCATAGTAACTCAGTGTGATTTAAAGAGAGGCAAAGGAGTTAGGATGCAAAAAGCTAAAATTGTGCAGTCATTGTACGTGACTAGCTCAATGATATTTTTAATATTAATGGACCTTTGTTACCACCACCCAGCTCCGTGTTGACCTTGTGGGGTTTCCCTGGCAGACAACTAAGTTCCTTTGATATGTTTTTCTGAGAAGGACCCATTTCCAATTAAAAAGTTAAAAGCACATCTAAAACTTATCCTGGATATTTAGTTGTGTGGGTAATTTGCAATTAACTAAAGTCTTTAGATGACTTGTCTCTTGAACTTTGTACCCTGAGCTTTATTAAGACCAATTGCTCTTTCAAAACTGTAGTTTCATATTTAGCCTCCAGATGTCACTGTCTGCATTATTTACTTCCCCCTACCTGGGTGGGGCGGGGGAACAGGCCTTGTCAACTTCAGCTTCCTGAATATGTATGACAGAACTCCAGCTGTTTTTGCACAATCAGTAGGCTTAACATTTTCTTTCTTTATGTCCAGGAAAGCAGTAATAACAGACTATTATTAGAATGAAAATGCTTCTTTTATACTTAAGTCTGTGGGCAAAGAATATTTTGACTTTAATTTAATAACTTGGGTCTGACAGCATGAAGGAGAAATTATACATGTCCACTATTGCATCATGCTTGTCATTCACATGGCTTTTTGTATTCACATTTTCCCACTGAAAAGTAGAAATAACTCAAATGCATGCCGATCAGTGACTCAACATGTAGAGATTCTTGGGTGGACTTGTGGTAGAATGAAATCTCAATCCTCCAGATCTGGAAACTTTGTTTTCTTGGTGTCACAGGGAACGCTGTCATAGAGAACTGTAGAAAAGTATATTTCTAAGCTGGATCAAAGGGCCTTCTTGACTCTTTATTACTGACTTGTGTGATTTATTCTTGTTATTTGAGGAGAATATACACGAGGAACATCCTTAATTTTTTTCCTAGCATGTAGATTTGGATTATAAATTATGTGACCCTCTTTATATTCATTATTATCTAATAATGATCCCATTTCCTAGGTAGCTTGTGGAGTCATCTTTCTTTTTTCCTTCCTCCCTCCCTCCCTTCCTTCCTCTTTTATATTTTCAATTAGGTGGTTCATGTGAAAAATAACAATAGCTTCCAATGTCTGAATGAGATGACCTAGCATCAGGAAAATGTTCATATCCAGACTAGTGTAATCAAACCTTGCTCTTCGCTATCTCCTTATACAGAAATAGCTCAGATTCAGTGTACATATTTTACACGGACAGAGCCTGGAGCAGTTATTTTCCCTTTTATGATTGCTAAGTGAGAAAATATCAATAGATGGATCTTGCTTAAGAATTTCCATGTCACATAATGAGCCTGAATATCTAAAAGAGCTCAATTCCTACAGACCAAAATGTCACTGTTTGGGGGAAAAAAAAATAGCTTATACGACGAGTGACCATTCCCATCTCCACCCCTGAAAGAAAACTTTGCGCAAAAGAAATTGCAAAGGCAAGAACCTGAAGGGGCCACAGTCGAAAGATGGTGGGAGGGACACGATCATGTACAGGACGGGCATGGTGGACAGGAAGAGGATGAGCAACAGCATTCCCAGATAGAAGGTATTCCCTCTGGAAGATTTGAAGACCCTCGCCTCAGGAACGTTGCAACACATCACAGCCCAGCCCTGGAAGTACATGGATGTGTGGAGCCGAAGGATATTGATGCCTGGGAGGCTGGGAGCGAAGAAGGAGCCCATCCTGGAAAGAAAAACAGAGCTCTGCTCACCATGGAGTTTCACTCCCCAACAAAGTCACACAGTCCATATTTGTTTTATATCATGCTTATTTGCCAAAGGCAGAAAATGTGTTTGCCACTTTCAATCACATAAACCCTTCATGTTAATAAACTTAACTAATTCTATTTCCATCTCCTGTACACATTTTACCATCTTCCCCATTATTGCAGATATTGTGTCCTTAAGTCTTTCACAGAAACTCTGCTGGTCGCTAACTATATCCACTTATCATTAGTAAATTTCAACCACAACAGACCAAACAGTATATTACATTTGTTCTACTTCTCTCTTCTACTTGTAAAAAAAATTTACTTTCCCCTAATATTCATATCATTAATGTATCTAAAAATTTAGCTTTAAAAAAAACTTCCCCCCAAAATTTTAAAAATTAGCTTTTTTTATAATTAACCCTTAAAATCACCCATTATATTCAAATAAACTGCATATGTGCATTAATTATTTTGTCATAGCTAATTAATTTTTACTTAATGAAAGAGAAAATGTTAAAGTAAGTTTTTCTGATGTTATTTTCTATTTGTGGCTGTTATGGTATTTTAGAGCCAATGGGAATTATGTATCTGTGCCTCATAACATACTATGTTTTGTTGATATTCCATTGCAAGCTTTATGTGTTTATGAAATGAAAATTTGACACATCCATTTAATTTAGTTTATGTTTACTTTCTTATTTTAGCTTGTCCAGGAAATCCACTGGTCTGTACATGAGATTTTTAAAAAGTATTTTAAAATGCCACTTTTAAACAGGAACCATTTGGGTGAGGTCACTCTTACTTGATGGCTTCAGTGGTTATTATTTCAACAAAATAAATTTCAATTTTCTTTGATGAGAAAATCCATCAGTACCATAAAGCACCATAATGGCAATTTATTAATCCGAAACTCAAAAGAGGATACATGTACACTTATTTCAGAAGTATAAGCAGAATCCTATCTTTTAAACTGTCCCAAATATAATAAAACCTTCAGCAATTCTAGTTAGGGTTTGCATGTTATATTTCCTGGTCATGTAGAATAATTTTTTAAATCAGTCCAATGTAAATTTGGTATATTATGGAGGGCGGGGCGTTGAGTTAGATGAAGAAGTTAGTTTTGGCTATAATTGAACTTGTGCAATCCAACATTAAACCATTTCATTGAAAAGTGCTAACCTGCTACAGTTTGTGCTGTGTTGTTGATAGGTTTCCATACAACAGATCTGAAAAACATTTAACATACTGAATTGACCATAGATTTTGTAGAAAGTTAAGCTATTAAAAAAATGGTATGTACTTTGGGTGATGATGATTTGTCCATGTAGGTTCATCAATGACAACAAATGTACAGCGTGGTGGAAGATGTCAACAGTGGGAAAGGCTGTGCGTGGGTGGGGACGGGGGTATATGGGAACTCTGTACTTTCCACTCAATTTTGCTGCAAACCTATAACTTCTCTAAGATATAAAGTTCATTAGTTTTTTTTAAATGAGGGTAAACTTTGGAACAATGCTGTGTATCTTGGTTACACGATAGCAAGAGAGAATCTGGAACCCCAGAAACATGAGCAAGTAAGTGAGTAACAGTCCCAGCTGAGGGGTCAGAATTACAAAGCACTAGATTATATTCCCAAATGCCAACGTCTGTAATGTAACATGCTTGCAGGTGATTGTGCTTGCCCCCTTCTAAAAGTCAGGCTTGGCCATGTGATTTGTTTTGGCCAGTAAAGTAGAGATAAAAATGAAGTGTCTCACTACGGGATGGAAACTTTAATAGCGCTGTAGGGTTTTTTGTTCTCTTCTCTCTCTGCTCTGACCAGTGATGTTCCAGATGGATCCTATGCTATCACAGTCTATGACTCCACAGTGAGAGTAACTAACATGAGCACAGTCCTTTACCAACTCACATTGGACACATGGAGTAAATAAGAAATAAACTTTTCCTTTTCTAAGCCACTGAGATTTGGGGGTTTGTATTTAATTGCTGCACAACCTAGTCTATCCTAAGATACAGATTTGCCTAAAGCCACATATATGTGTACCTATACATAGGCATGCGTTGTTTATCTGTATGCACACATATGGACACTCATATATGTAAGTGCATCTACAAATGAATAAATTTCCGAATTTCAAAATAAATATCACATAGGCATTTTGAACAAATGACTCAAGAACATTATCCTAGAAAAAGAGATCCCGGCACAGTGATATCTGAATCTTAAAGCTCATTCTTTCTTTGCCCGTGACTCACTAATCAGCTCAGCTCACTAAGTCCCTTAGCCAGACCTGATCCCGTCATCTGTCAGTTGAAGATCATTGTAATACCTTAGGCTTATAAAATGCTTTTCTTCCAAGAAGATCAAAGCAAATCAAAGCTTCTTTTATTTAGCTCTTCTTATTGTTCCAGTGACACGGTACGTGTCAGGTAAATTATTCACATTTGATCAAGTGAGAAAATGAGGGAGCAGAAAGTGACAAGACTGGCAGGGAGATACAGGAGACAGCATTGGAACAACATCTAAACGTATCTTCTTTCTCACTGTGTGTGCTCTGCCTCAGCTACACCCTGCTCTGATAGAGATATGATATGCTTTCATCATTTAAAAATATGATTACAAAACCTACGCTATTTTAAAAAGACGTGTATAATATAGTTTTACTGATCATATCAGCCAATTCATTAAAAAATGGATGTTACCTATAATTGTTTGACTTTAATAACATTGGTGTAAATAACCTTCATTACTCAGAAACTCCTAAAGCAGTTACTGAATGTCTCCAGTCACAAACCAATAAAATTGAACACAAAATCTCCATCCTCTTTTGATCATTTCTGTAGCAAATGGCCATACTTAGGCATCAGATCCTTATGCCTCATAAAATAGTGGATTACATGTGTGAGTACAAGGGAGCCTTCTAAACCTAGACTACACACTCCCCACACCACATCCCTACCCTGTCACCAACTTCCTGGCAGTTAGGAAAAGACCATTTGTACAAAGGGTTGACCTGAAGGGGAATAATAGTTATTCAATATTTTGCTTCTAGAACTCTGGGAAGTGTGTGAATATCTTAGTACACTCAAAAAACACAATCACTTTCTAAAGTCCTCTTCAAACTAACCGGAAGCAATATTTGACCAATATCTGAAGGTTGAATACATAGAAAATGATAGTGTAATGATACTGCAAAGATTTTGATGATGGGTCTGCCCATGAGAAAACTGGAGAAGATTGTTTAGATATTTAAGAATTTCAATATGAACAACAGTGGGCTAAATAGGTACAAAATTACAAGTGAAACAAATCAGGACACAATTATAAGAGCTTTGCTGACAATGAAAACAAATTTCTAGGCCAATCTGTTGTCTTCACTATGAAAGAACAAGAAATAGACATGCAGCATATGTCTGCACAAATGGCGCCATGCCAGGCCTGAGGGATTTACGACACTCTGCATAAGAGCCAGGGAGTTTTAAAACTGATATAAGGCAGTGGTTTCTCATTACTCCAATAGCACCGTTAGCCATTTTCTGCCATGACAGCAGAATCCCCTACAGGAAATGAAAGATCTGGAAGCTGAGCCCTTTGCTATCTCTGGTGATAGTCACATGTTGAGCCACCTTGACTTTCCTCCCTGCCTGGAGAAGAAAGGATGCATTTCATTCCTTAATGACTCTCTGGACATATAAGCCATAACCTGTAAAATTTAGAAAGCAAGGGAACAGGAATCACGTTTTTAAACATACCTGACAATGGAGAGGAGGATCTTTTCATAGTCTTCTCTTCAGATTGATTGACCTAGTGAGGCACAGAAATCTGACAGGCCCCAAGGCGGGATGATGAGGCCCTTGACTGTGGTCTTTATATTACTGAAGCAAGATCATTTTTACTTTTGCAGAGAGGTTTGCTCTCACAAAGGTTTAACAATTCAGACTAGCTATGGTTGAAGGAGTTGAGTAATAGATGAAGCTTGCACAAAAACTGACCCCAGTAACTAGTACTTGCACCTAGGACAATGGTGTGATTGGCACAATATTAGATCTGTGTCAATGGGATAAAGAAGCTCAGTTGTAACTGCCTGTGGGTTGGGGTGTTCTTAGTTAAGAGTGACAGATTTTCAAGACACACGGTCCACAGATGAATCTCCTGCTATGATTCCATTTTTAAAGTCAAAAATGGTTTCTACTGTATCAACTCATCTTAACCTGCCAAAGTTTACAGTGAAAATGCTTTCATTTAATAAAAGATATAACAATCCTTTGTACATTAAAAGAAATAATTCCGATGTGCAAGTGGCCCCATGAAACAAATTACTAAATAAAGATCATATTTCTAACTAAACCTTCCTAAAACATGTATTTCATCTCTATAAACTACTGGATTTGGTAAGCTAAAAGTTTTTAAAGTAGCTATAAATTCCATTTAAAACATATTCAATAGTGACTGCAAATAAAATAAGTTTCTTGGAAAGACCTTACACTAATTTCTTTCATTCTTAACATGGGGTAATGGGATCATTAATGTTTCACTGTCAGATCCTAGTATCACAGGATATGAAACTATAAAAAGCCTTCAAATAATCTAGAAGCCAGAACCTAGACTCCCAGTATTTGATGAAGGAGTGCTCTGCAAAACAGGCAGATGCCTTTTAGAATTAAGATTTAAAATATGGGGAAAAAAAGTAAACTCTTCATAGCCATTCACTTTGCAAAAAGACAAATGTTGAGTTAGATACAGACTGTGGACTTCTCTAACACCAGGCTACAGTGCTTCATGCAAAAATGATCTTGGAGGCTTTCTTCAAGTGATAAACTGTCCACAGCTGGCTTACCAGATCATTCCTTGATTGAAGATCAGAGCGAGGACATTGCCACTGATGTCAAATTCGGTGTATGAAGGCTAGAGGAGACATTCACTGTATTAGCATCTCAAATGGCAAAAACTGAAAGGCAAGTGTTTCATATTTCTATATAGGTATGGCTAGACTTGCAACTACTTTCTTGCAGCAACAACAGCAGAATAATCAATACAATAAATAATTAGCGATAAAGTAATAAGGCATCCTTTTTAACACAGTAAGACATTTTAAAATTCTGTCATTCGATGCTGTGGAAGTGTGATGAGACATACGCTCTCATATACTGGTGGTGAAAGTAAAACTTGGAATAAACTTTTAGAAAACAATTTGACAATACATATGAAAAGTTTTAAAAACTTCATCCTCTTTGACCCTGTAAATTTACTTCTAGAAATTTGTTTTAACAAAATAATCCTAAATGCTAACAAATTTTAAGAAGCAGAGATGAAACCATCTAAATGTCCAACACTGGTTAAGTAAATACAGTTTAACTATGCTATGATATATATTGCAGCTAATTACAATCACCGTTGGAAGGATATTTATATAACCAAGAGAAAACTATGCTCTAATGTTAAACAAAAAATATGTAAACTTATACATTATTTTTTCTACTCAATATGAAACTATGCATAAAGAAAAAACTTAAAAGTGATCGGCAAAATTAATAGTTGTTATATGTGGGTGATGGATTATGCTTTTATTTTCTTCTTTAAGTTTTGCGTATTTAAAATACTTTTATAAAAAAATGTGAATTTCTTTTACAATAAAAAATATAGAGGGGCTTCCCTGGTGGCGCAGTGGTTGGGAGTCTGCCTGCCGATGCAGGGGACACGGGTTCGTGCCCCTGTCTGGGAAGATCCCACATGCCGCGGAGCAGCTAGACCCGTGAGCCATGGCCGCTGAGCCTGCGCGTCCAGAGCCTGTGCTCCGCAACGGGAGAAGCCACAACAGTGAGAGGTCCACGTACCACAAAAAAAAAAAAAAAAAAAAAAAAAAGAGAGAGAGCAATACAATGAAAGTTTAAGAAGTTATTCAACTCATCGTCCAGTGTTCACTCCTAGATGATACCATCCTACTCAGGGCAGCAGCACCAGGCTGTTCTTTGTACACAGGGGACACCAATTGGAACTGAGGTGGGCATCTGTCCTAGGAGGACCCATCCAAAGGCTTCCTGGTGACACATTAGGCATCTTAGAAAGAAAGCTCTGTCAATGGAGTAATGCTAATTAGCAAAGACAATAAAGCTGGCTCCTATTTAATTTGAGATAGAGAATAATCAATCAGGAAATTGACTAACTGGTAACAAAAGAAAAAGCAAACAGCAAAAAATATAAAGTGAGAGGACCACAAAGAGAGAGTAATAGAGTGGCAGGACCTGATTACTGCCCCAGATCCTGACATCTGCAGGTGTGGCTTCAGACCACATGTATCCTCATAACTCCCTCCCTAGCACACATATATACGCACAGCACAACGCTCATGTGCACACACACACATACAAAATCAAACAACCTGAGAGTGTCTCAGTTTTTCTTAAACCCAAGCACCCAAAAATATATTTGTAAGAAGATAAAATAGGTCTCTGATTTGGAGTCCCAACAAATCTTTCACAATTTTTGAACACTCTGCCTCAAGAATTCTTGAATCCAGGCGTCAAATTCATCACTTCCCAAAAGGCAACAGTACTCTCCTAGTTAACTGAAAGGTATGGGCGATGTGCCTTGTAACAGATTCAGGTAGTAGATGCCAAGTCTGACATAACAAGAATGGTTAAATAGCAAGATATAATAATAATAAGATGATACATAATGAAAAAATAAATAACCCTATATAAGGAGGACAAAGATGACAGATGATTTCAACAAAAATTCACTCAAGATACTACTAAAGAATATACAAAGTGTTTCACTTAGTTTGCAGATCATCAAGAAGCTTAATGTTCGTGAGATGCAAAGAGGTTAGGTTGACAGTTTTTGTTCTAAAATTAACAATGAAAAAAGTGTGGTTTTCATGGAAAATGAAGAAAATGAATTGCTTATAATCTGGAGAAACGTTAGCTCTGAGTCTTTCTCTTTCCCCAGGAGCACTTTGCTCTGGATCAACTCCCCTTTTCTCCTGGAGCCCTGTGAGATCACAGAACACATGTGACAAATGCTCAGTCGGTGGTCTGCACCATCTGTGGCCTTGGAACAGCTCTTCTCTGTGTCCGTTTAAGAATCAAACCTTCAACCTTGGCCTCTTTAGAAGAGTGTCAGATTTAGCCCACCAAACTAAGGAAAATGAAAAAAATTCAAACTTTTAGAAGTACATTTCTTTTATTCTCACAAGCATACAAACCTCTTAAAGGCCATTTGAGATGAGATATTTTTATAACCAGGTGACCAGAAAAGCACAAAGGACACACTAGGAACCCTTGGTTTCATACTGTGTGTGCAGCAGGGGCAGCTGGAGGAATAAAATCTTTGATGCATAAATTGATTGACCAGATGCAGAGAAAGGGTACCTCCACACTCCCTACTGTGACAAGTGGTTTTGTGATACAGACACTCGTCTGGGATTCAGACTCGAGTATGAGACTTTGCCCTGCCATTTGCTCGCTGAGTGAGCTGAGCCAGTCACTAATCAATTCAGGCCTCAGTTTCCTCACAGATAAACTAATGAAATGAACTAGATCAGGGGTTGGTGCATTATGACCCATGAGCCAAATCTGGACCACCATCAAATTTTTTTAAATAAAGTTTTTTTTAGAATATAGCTACATTCATTCATTTCTGTATTGTCTATTGCTGTCTGGGATGAAAACAGGAATGTCACAGTTACAACAGAGACCATATAGCCTGATGCAAGGGAAATGACTTGTTTTTCTCTATGATTACACTCTACTCATGATACTTCTGACACAGATATATAGGTTCTTCCCCCAAACCAAGCATTTCCCCAACTTTCTGTGGATACCATCTCGATGTCCTACAATTTAACTCAATTCTGACACTAACTGTCCAGAGTTGGCACAGATCCCACAGGTTAAGGTCTTGGTGCCACAAGACTGCCCCACACTTTAGATGAAAGCCTCACACTTTAATTGAAAGCTCAGGTTGTCACCTATGCTGACTGATGGGCTGTAAACTGGAGAGTCTCACGACTCCCTCCTTAGCTTTGATCATTTGTTAGAGTAGCTCACAGATCTCAGGAAAACAGTTTGTTTACTAGATTACTGGTTGATTATAAAAGGATACAACTCAGGAACAGCCAGATGGAAGAGGTGCATAGTACGAGGGAAACGGTACAGAGTTTCCTTGCCTTCTCCACGTGCACCCTCTTTCTGGCACCTCAATGTGTTCAGCAACATGGAAGTTCTCCAAACCCCAGGGTTCAGAGATTCTTATGGAGACTTCATCACAGGGACAAAATCAATCATTAACTCAGTCTCCAGCCTCTCTCCCCTCCCTGGAGGAGGGGGGGGATGAGGCTGAAATTTCCGAGTTTCTAATTATGGTCAGGTCTTTCTGCTGACAAGCCCCCAAACTGAAGCTATCCAGGAGACCACCAAGAGCTGCCTCATTGGAAAAAATAATGCTCCTATCACCCACAATATTCCAAGGAATTTAGGAACTCTGCATCAAGAGCCAGGGTTAAAGACCAAATATAAGAACAAAAGATGTTCCTAGCACCATCACTGCTTTGTAAATTACAAAAATTTTAGGCGCTCCAGCCAGGAATTGGAATGAAGACCAAAATATATATTTCTCACTACACCACAATAACATTCTTGCAGAAGTGAAAATACTTATTGTGCAATCTTTTACAGAGAAAGTTTGCCTACTTCTGAACTAGATAATTTCTAAGATCCCTTTCTAATCTAAAATCTGTAATTGGTTGACTCAGTTATTAAAGAATTGCTTCTTGGGACTTCCGTGGTAGTGCTCCCAATGCAGGGGGCCTGGGTTTACCCCTGGTCAGGGAACTAGATCCCACATGCATGCTGTCACTAAGAGTTCACATGCCACAACTAAGGAGCCCTCGAGCTGCAACTAAGCAGCCCACATTCTGCAACTAAGGAGCTGGTGAGCCACAACTAAGGAGCCCGTGAGTCGTAACTAAGGAGCCTGCCTGCCACAACTAAGACCCAGTGCAACCAAATAAATAAAATTTATATAAAAAAAAATAAAAAAAATTGCTTTTCTCTAAACACCTTAAAAACAGAATTTATACTCCATTCATTAAACTCAGAAACTGCCACTCTAAAAACGAAACAAATGAAAGAAAGCAAACACACACACACACATACACACACACACACACACACACACACACAGGGTATGAAATTCAAGGCTCATTCTTTTAGAGGTGGATTTTTAAAAATATGAGATCATACTATAGTTTCTTTTTTTTAAAGCCAATACACTAATAATATGAGTGTAAATCAATTTGCAAAGTGTTGCCTCTAAAATATAAAAAGCTTAAAGGTAAATGATGCTTGAGAAAAAACAGGTTTTCTCGTAACCCGAGTTAACAAAATGATTCAAATGGAGTAAGTGTAATAAAGTCCCTAAGGGCTGCTCATCCATAATAAGATTTTTAGGGGCCAGCAACAGAGAAGCCAATCTGGAATTGGGTTGGGGTCCGTAATAGTCAAGGAACTAGAAATTTTCTTGCTTTATTTTTAGACCTTTGTTTGTGGTGGGCTAGAGTCAGTTATCTACCCAGAAGGAAAACATATGGTACTCACTGGACGAAAAAGCCTGAGAAAACCCATCCTCTCTCTGCAAGTTTAATTATTTGGGGCAAACCATCAACCTCTGGATATTGTGAAATGCAATTCAGGATCTCAGAGATAATTCTGTCATTGCAATGACCTGCCTGACTTTCGTCACACAAATCTCATTTCCTACAGCTGGAATCACACTGCTTAGAGCTGCAGGCTGGCCTGGCCTGTGGCACTGGGGCAATGGCACTCAAGGGTGGTCCCAGACCAGAAGCAGCATCAACATCTGGGAACTTTTTAGTAAAGTAAATTCTCAGGCCCTGCCCCAGATCT